GTCACGATCACCACCAACATGAAGCCTGGACAGGTGACAGAGAGGGTGGAATCATATCTCAGATTAAAATCTCTGGTAAAAATAAATAAATAAATAAGGCAGAAGAAGGAGAAAAGTGCAGGCATTCCTTTCTCTGTTTCCCCAAATAAACAGTGTGCAGATGAAAAGTGGGAACATAAACAGGCCGGAGAACCTCGGATGTGCTCCCCTCACTGAAAATGTCCCTCTCTAAGTCTGAAACAATATTTAGTGAGAGAGAGAGAGAGAGCTGACCCGACACGGAGTGAGTGAACCAGCGCAGCACAGATGGCAGAGGAGGCTTTTCTCTTTCTGTCTTTTATCTGGTTTACGACTGACAACAATCCAAAAAACACCAAAAATATTCACTACGACAGGCAAAGCCTTACATTTGCTGGAATCTTTAATGTTCAGCGTTAAAATGATTGTCAGAGCTGAACTGACAGGCAAGCATCTGTCAGCTCAGCTCTGCAATCGGGAAAAGAAGAAAGAAAGAAACTGAAAAATGTGCAGGTTACAGAAAAGCTGTGCAGTACTGGGAGGCCTGACCCAGGACAAATAAAGTAAATTTGCTGTCCTAATAGAGGCAGCAGCCAATTTAAGGTTCCTATGAAGTTGAATGAGTGCTACCAAAAAAGGAGAAGGAGGAGATTTAAACAGAAAAGCATCACACGTGGATGTGAAGAAAAGGAGAAGTGTGCGTAATCTGGTAAAACTACACATCCACGTTGCGGTTTTTATGGGAGCAAAATAAAAAACTAAAACTGTATCTGTGTGTGCTAAAGAATATTTCTGCAAAATAATAATAATGATAAAAATGTTGCACGGTGATCAGGAAACCTGCACATCTGTCATTCGTGCTGTTTGGACGTGCATGTGCTGATATGTCACACAGCCAATGATTCCACATCTGTGTCTCTAAACCTGTGCTCGCCCCTCTGTTTATCATAATGTTACATATAGTCTAAATATAGTACACTAGCAACAGTCTAAATGTTTTCCGTGATAACACTTTAGCAACTTTAGAAACGGGCTGCAGATTTAGTGCGCTTTGGAGCAACTGCGAGTAGCGCCCCCAGCCGGCGAACGACACAACGCCACCATTCACCAGGTACCTGATGTCCGCTGACAGCCACATCATCCCTTCAGCAACACGCAGACACAAACACAGACACACAAACACAGACGCACACTGTCTTGTCATCAGCTAACAAGGAGACCCCAGCGCTAATAAGTAAGAACTCCGAAGAAGAAGAGAAGCAACTCACGGACTCGAGGTTTTAGGAATAGTACAAATCCCCTAAGACAGCGTGAGGCTCACGTCCGCAGAGGTGCACCTAATGATCCCATGACAGCAAGAGCCTCACTAAATATGGGCGACATGCAGTGTTTCTGCAGGAAGGAGCGGACAAGAGCTTAGAAGAGCCAGCATCATGCCAGGGCAGTGCCTTTCCTTCTTACAGAGCTGTGCATGAGAGAGAGTGGAGCCGAGCTCGGTGACCTACCTTCCCGTGTCCCCGTGCAGAAGTTTCCGATGTGAGTCTGTCCTCAGCAGCCGAGCGGAGAGGAGGCGGTGCCGGCAGGAGACTGAGGAGACTCTACTTCTTCCACAAGCGGAGAGAAGGAGTCTGGTGTCAATTTCCCCCGTGGTAAAAATAGAAACGTCCGGGAGCAAAAATTTCAAAATAAAGTTTGTCTTGGCAGGACTCCACAGTTGGCAAGGGGCCGATGAGAAATACAGAGCTGTGGCCAAGATAGCTGATGTTGGTCTAAGACCTTTACGCAACTTTGTATCACGCATACCTGTAACCCGTGAACACATAAAAATGTGGTTGGTCAGTTTGTGTTTTCTTTGCGCATGACAGACCTGACACTGAGTCCAGTAAAACAGCTTAAATAGTGGCTCAAGCTCGAACTGTTTTAGAAGCAGAAGCAGAAGGCGTCTAGTCCTTCTCACTGAGCATACTGTTTGGCTGTTTTCAGACCGGAAATCCTATAAAATGCTTTAAATAAATAAATAAATCCTGCAGATCACACCACTTCGTGGAAATCTGGCCCTGCTCAGCTAAAAAGAAGTCTGATAGGTCTAAGCTCAAATAAATCCTGTTTTTTGCGAGTTCTTGAGCGCCACAATCTAACTTTGACCTCTCTGAAAAGCATAACTCGATTAGGAGCGTGTGCTTTCCACACTTTGTTTCAAGGAGCTCTTGTTGTGGTGACTTTTAAGAGGTCATTCTTGGGGCGAATTACCCACACCTGCTTTTGGGTTCAACCTGGTGATCAGTTCTACAACTTCGGTCTGAATTCGACCAAATTAAACTGACTTATTGCTCCGATTAGGACATGGCTGAAACTTCCTACCTGTGAAATGCATGCTTTTATTTTGTAGGAAAACATTTTCCTCTGTGGTTTCGTTTTGTCTGTTTTTGCAGGACTGGATTCAGCGGGATCCTGCTGACTCGGTGCCAGATCTGCAACTCCAAAGAAGCAGCTGCAGCCGCTGCAGAGGTGGGGGTTGAGTGTGTGTGGGGTTTGCTATCCCTGCTGTTGGTTTGGTGCTGTGGGTATCGCACAGGTGCTGGAGTGGAGAGTAGATGTCTGTTATGTCATGATGGCAATTCTCCCTCAACACAGTATCCTGGCTACACCACAAGTTCTGTAACTTAGACGTGTACATGTATCTATACGTGTAACGAAGCGCAAGTTTGGGCTTAAATTGTAAGAAATAAATGTGTGAAATTACATAAAAGGTGCTCCAGGTCATTGCCCAGACTGTCCTGTGATTATAAAACAGGTTTTTGTTAATTCACAGAAATATCCTGGGGATTTTTTTTTAATCTATTATGAAAAACAGAAATTTCTAGAGAAGACGGTTAAAAAAGTTACATTTCTGTCATTTAATTGTTTAGTCATAAGTTAATTACTTTAGTAAATGGGTTTGGGGTCTTTATCAGTAGGAAAACCTATAAAAACTCAGAAAAAAGACCAAAATTTATGCCGGAAGTCTCCAGCAGTTACCTCGGTTTCCTAGCAACCACTCACAGTAAAAACCTCAAAGCTTCCTGTAAAATATCAAATTAACGCTTTTACACATGTAAAAAAATCTTTTACATGTGTAGAAATTAAACAAAGAATGTAACATGAATGTGCTTTTGGATGTTACACCAGCTACATATTTTCCTCCCTCTAGTCTTTTTGCTGCTAAGATACAACGCTTTGAAAAAGTATTTGCCCCCTTCCCGATTTCTTTTGCTCCCTTTTGGTATATTTGTCACACTTACATGTTTCACATCATCAAACTAATTGTAATATTAGAGAAAAATAACCAGAGTAAATACAAAACAAATACTCCAACCCTACCCGGCCGTACGTGAAAAGTCATCGCCCCGTAAATCTGACAGCTGGAAGAACTGCAGTCAAGTGTTTGTGATAACTGACAATCAGTCTTTTACATCACTGTGGAGGAATTCTTCGCCAAATCTTCTTTGTAGAATTGTTTGAATTCAGCCACATTAGAGGATTTTAAAACATGAAAAGCTTGTTTAAGTTCATGCCAACACATCTCAATCGGATTTGAGTCCGGACTTTGACTAGGCCTCTCCAAAACCTCTTTTGCTTTAGTCACTCAGAGGTAGACTTATGATGTGTTTCGGATCACTGACCTGCTGCATAACCCGAGTGATGGCTGGACATCCTCCAGCAGACAGCAGAATCCAGGCTCCATCAATTACAGCAAGTCGCCCTGAAGCAGCAAAGCAACCCGAGACCATCACACTACCACAGCCACCCCAAAAACCGCTTTTTGTATTTACTCTGGTTATTCTTGTCTCTATTTAAGTGTCACACATATGCCAAAAAACTAAGAAATCAGGAAGGGGTTACTGTTACCCTAGCTATGACTTAACCTTTTAACCTTTAATGTATTTTATAATTTTAACAATTCATCTAAAAGACTATCGATATAAAGTGTTTTGTATATATTGTAAACATATGTTCATTTTGGACAGCACCTGGCCAGCTGTCTTTTCTGCTGTCTCCACTCTTTACATTTAAATCCTATCAATTCATGGGACAGTGCCAGCTGACTGCACGTGTTCAGCTGTCATGTGAGAATGTGAAATGCAAAAACAGATAAACAGACGGAGCATTGCGCCGTAAACAAGGGGAAACTCATGATGGTCAAATGTCATCTATCTACAGGTGCTGAAAAATAGGTCAGCGCCTTGTGTAAAACCACCACTTGCTATTTTACAGCTTTTGCATGGCTGACTTTGTATAAATAAATAGGATGATTGCAACATGAAGAGAAGACTGCTCGAAGAACGAGGCCATCATTTTAATAATTAGGCATCCTTAGATGTAGGTTTAGGGCAAGAGGTGCAAAGGCCTACTCAGACCACCACGAGCATGAAGCGGCAGACGGTCGGTGACTAACACCAGCCTGGGGCAGTTAGGCTGATGGTGGTGCAGAAGTGCGGAAGACAAAGAGATCGAGCATGCAAATTTTTGACCTTTAACATGTAAGATGTTACTTTTTTTATTCTATGGACAGAGGAATCTCTTTCCCTTTGTTCATGGGCTAAGTAAGTGCATCCTGACTCGAGTTCAACCAGCAGACCAAATTGTTTTCATCTCGAAAGCAAAAAAGAGGAACTCCCCAATAATGCTGGTTTATTCTTCTAATATTAATTCACTGTTTCGCATATTCAGACATGGCACTGTACAGATTGTAATACATCAGCTGGGATTTAACTTTACTGAGAGGCTCACTGGTGACAGTCAAACTGAAATCAGCCCTCCACGCATGCCATTTGCCGTTTTGCCTGTGTGTGGGTTTGTGTGTGTGTGAGTGTGTGTCATTGTCTCTAAACCCTCGCGTCTTCACAGCACCTTACATTTCTGTCAGATCAACAGATATATCTTTGCCTCTGAAGCAACAACACCGCTCTGCGTCTGCCTGGAACAACAGTGCTCTGTAAGTTTTTTTTATATCTGATTATGTAACAACAGACTGTGTCGTATTGGTTAAACTGGTTAGTTACACTTATGTATATACTTGTGTCTTGTGTGGAAAAACACAACAGCCCAGTAAGGTGGGTGAAAGTAAGACGACCTGAAGTCTGAGCCTGAGAAGTTGCTGTAATGAAGTTATACAGACAAAAAGCTGCAAAGGAGTTTGAACTCGATGTGCTCGAGAATTCACATATTTGAGTAAACGTTGATTTAATAGCAACATGAGGCCATGAAACACATGAAAATGTAGTTTAGCTATTCATTTACAAAGTTTTTGATGACTTCAGTCCAACAAGATCTAATCGATCAGTTAAATTTAATTCCAACTGAGGTTTGTTTTATATTCACAACGATATAGAAACAGTCAAAAAAAAGGAGAATAAAAGAGTGTGTGCACCGCAGTCGGCCGCGGCATTGTTGCTCTGGCTCAGAAAAGCAGTCATTACATGCTCAAAACATAAATAGCTGCTTTCATTGCGACTTGGAATAGAAAACCAAAAAAAAATGGTGTAGGTTTTAAGACACCCAAGAGGTCCGTGTGTGTCTGTGATCCCTTGTAACTGTTCTTAAAATGACTGGATGTATTTTGGGTGCTGCACTGAGGCATATCTGCTACATGTGTCGGCCACAGTCGGACAGAATCGGTTTGGACGAGCAGAAGATGAATTTTTACGTGCAGAACGGGCTCTGTTTAACTCACAGTGTGATATTCAGAGTTTTAGCATAGTTTATTTTTAGATAAAGACACGGTTGACACAAACACTCATTATAGTGAACAGAAATCAAAGTAGAGTTATTGTTAAGAGGAGTAAAAATCTCTTTGAATGCTAATGAATCCTACCCGAGGTAGGCCTGAACAGTTAATGTGATTTAATCACATCTTGTCAGGTTATTTCCCAGGTGCTGTACAGACTTTGGAAAACATAAAGCAGATAACAGGATCTAACAACAACTTTTTTCCACTGATTCAGGAAATAATGATTCACTTTGAGCATTTGGGCTCCTGATTTCAGATGCACTTTCTTATCCAACTCCACCTACACGCTTCGAACGCTCGCTCAGTTTTGTTGGAAAAATAATTTCATATGTGACAGTTAAAGGGCACATTGTCTGTTTTGAGGTGCCTACACAGTCTCGCGCATTGATGTATGTACAGAGAAATGCTTCGAGTTGCACAGCCATGAGCTAACTTCCTGATATCACAAAGAAAATAATCATGACCTAAAAACTCTAAATAGTTATCACTGCTATGCTCTTGATTTAATATCAGTGGGTAATCTACAGAAAACAGAGAGGCACATCGACTCTCTGAGCTCACGCTGGTGCGTTCGTGCGTGATAAGGACCAACACTGTTCTGGTGATTTGCTTTTTGTCATGTTGTTCTCAGCAGCCAGTTAAGCAGCTATTTGACTGATCGCTATTTACACCAAGCACGTTTCTGCCTCTTGTCGGGTTCCCCACTTCAACACTGTGACTGTGCCCACATATTAATAATATTTCTGCTGTTTAAATGAGCCGAGGAGGAGTTTACACTCAGTAACACAAATATTACACAAATGGTTTATTTTTCTAAAACCTGTAGCTGTACTTGGTTACCACGCGTCAGACTGAAACATCTGAGAAAAGTACTGTGAAGAATAACAGTGACTGTGATGACGCGCTGGCTTTTCTTTGCAATAAATGATCATTTTCCAGGTTTTCTGTGGGCCAGAAGCCCCTAATTAATCTTATATGGGTCAGATTACAGGTGTGTTGTGACAGCTGGGCCACACGAGGCTTGGTGTGACAGATGTCAAGCTTGTCTACTGAGTATTAGGCTAGATCTAGCTTACGTAGCATTTGCTAGCGAGCCATAGTAGCCCTGCTATCTGGGTCCAGAGGCCACAATGGGGTTGGGTTTTTTTAAAATTATTTTTTAAATATTTCAGCAAAAACTGTTTAAAAAAATTAAAGTCCTCTTCACTTTTGTCAACGACGTCCCCATCTTCTTCCTCGTTTAGTTCTTCCTTCACATTAGCACGTGTTAGCACGCTAACGCACCCAGCTAAAAAAAAGTTGAGGACTGTAAATGCTAAACATGAGCACATAACGCTGTCAGCTCTAAGCCTGCTCTGCCTTCATGTCGAATGTGTTTCCGCTGCTAATGTTTACGCTTCCTAATTGTGGTTTACTTGAATAAACACTTGACGCTCGCGCTGAGGTCGCCTTTAAAAGCTCGACCTCGTCGCTTTTATCCGAGCGCAAATGGTTTGAAGATGTCAAAGTATTCAAAGTATTCGCATAGTCTGTCGAAGCTCGTGCGTCCGAGCACATAATGTTGTGGCGGGTTAGCCATTATGACAAGATAGAAATGGTGAACCCACCGGAAAGATCATAATGGCCGCCGTGTTTCGCTCTGTCACAACCCCCATTATCACTGCCATCTAAAACGATAACCTGGAGCTGCGAGTCTGCCGAGAACAGACGAGTTTGACCAAATGACAAACACAATCAGGTTTTTGATTCCTATTTAATTGCATTTACTCTCACACCAGAAAACTTCCTCTCTGTTCTCTGTGGAAAACGAGCGTTCAGGCCTCGAAGTCTCGTGTCGAGTCCTCGGCTTGCTGAAAACAGAGTGACTCATAGGACTCTTTTTTCCACCACTCATTGGGTCAATCACTATCTGCTTACTCTGCAACACTCTTGTACCAAAGTATTCTTTGCACATCAGAGGGAATTATACACTGCATGCAAACAGTTTCTGTGTGTTAGTCCCGGGCGCTGCATGAAAGACACCCCGCAACAGTGTGGGTTCAAAGCTTGGCTCAGGAACCGTGCCATGTGTCGCCTCATCTCCCGCCAGTCTTTGTTTTTGTTAAATAAAAAGAGGGAGGGCGGAGAAAAAAGAAAGAAAGCACCAAACTCTTAGTTTATAAAGAGCACACGCAGAGCCGGGACTTGGCTTCTGCTGTTGTTGGACCTTTTAATGTTTTGTTGGAAAGCCGTCAGTGTTTTGGTTAGTTTGGTCGTAAATTACAGCAGCATGGCTAATATGCTTGTCACGGTCTGTTAAAGGGGGTTTGTTATTAAATTCACTTTCCCTTTCAGTTTGCTCAAGTAATATCACAGAAGTTGATCATAAATTTTGAGCTGCTGTATCACCGCGCTACCCACTTAAACGCCCCACAGTGTATGGGGAATTTAAATGAGAAATGGGGAAAAAGAATAGAGTCACTTGCATCCATTTATAGACTTTTTACAGGAGTAGACCTCCTTTCTCAACACATACACAAACAAGATGCAAGTCATTTATTGTTTATCTATAAAATATCAGAAAGTGCTTACATGGAGCTCAAGTTGATGCCTTTAAATAGCCTTTTTTGCTCTCAAAGCAGTCTAAAATAAAAATAATTAAATGTACATTAATATAAAATAATGCAATAAGCAAATTTGCACACTAAATTTAAGCAGAATGGGGTAAAAAAAAAAAGGAAGCTTATTTTAGCTTTAAAGTCAAATGACAGCAAAAAGATAAACACCTTTCTGCATTAAAAATAAAAATAAACTCCATAATAGTTATTCCCGTGTGTTGAGATCGGATTAGGTGGTGCAGAAGTTGAATAAACGTATGAACAGTTAGTCTCCATTCGTTAGAAAAACCAGTTTTCCATGTGCTGCACATCCATACTGACTAAAATAAACACCTTTTAGGTGCAGATCATGAAGAGCTCCAGCATTGCTGCTCATGTCTAGGCGACATCCATTTGTCCACACTGTAGGGTCTGGTCTTTGTTGTGGCGTTTTGGAGGTCATGCTGCAGTAAAACCTGGTTTCTTGTGGCAGTCGTATGTTGCTGTTTGGTTGTCCACTGTTGATGTGGGAAGCAGCTCAGGTATATAACCAGGAAGCTGAGGTTTTGCACTTTTTATTTCACATAGTGTTTAAAAACATGTTATATGTTACGGTGTAAGAAGTTAAATTACAGTAAAGTAGATTTGCCAGCTTTTGGTAATCACACCCCCTGTTTTACTGTAAGTAACTTATGGCACATGCTGTGTATGTCAGGTTTTAGGTTTATAATTTCATCGTTATAAAAACTGCACTCTTTGTGAGGGGGTGAAGTTTTCACTGATATGAAGAAATGAAACTGATGGACACATAGTGAGAATAACACAAAGACAATCACGTATCAGTTTGCATGCCGCTTTGTTTAAATGTGCTTCTCGTCTTTATTTACTCCCAAATTGAAGAAGAGCTCAGGAGAGCAGCCTGGCTGATCTCCTGCGTGTCTTCATGAAATCTCGATCTTTCTCTTCATTTCAGATCATTTCCTTTCTGGGTTTTCTGAGCTGATGCCTGTGACGTCTTGTGATCGCTGTCGATTTCCCTCTTTATCTCAAACATCTTCTGCTTGTTGTCGCGTAACCGTTCCACGCTGCAGTCGAAACCCTTTTGATTTCAAAGTTGTCCTTACTCCCGTTCACAATAAAGTCAACCGAGTACCAGCGCTTCTCATCGCGCACACACTCGTTACAGTAACGATACTTTGATCTCCGTTTTTTTGTTCCATAAAATGAAAAAACGATGAGTTTTAAAGCAGAGGGAATGTTCTGTAACCGTACAGCACCTGTTCAACGGAAGAGCGACACGCTGGAGAAAGGAGGCTGTGAGGGCGGACTGCGACTTCCTGTTGTGGCTTGTGTCATCACTTTGTTAACCTGCAAACTTTATGCAGTCTCAAAGTGTGGGTGCCTCATGCTAAGTGTCACATCCCCACATATGTCTCCTCACTTGTACGTGTCAGGCTCCTGAGAAGCGCAGCTCTGTTGGGTTTGTTGTAGATCCTAGTGTAACACAGCTGGGAAGGGAAGAGAAGGTGAGGTTATCCAGGTTGTGTGTGTGTGTGTGTGTGTGTGTGTGTGTGTGTGTGTGTGTGTGTGTGTGTGTGTGTGTGTGTGTGTCTTTTGGGGCTTTTTTGTTGCTTTTTGTAGCACTGATTTTAGTGTTGTCCATTTTTAAGCCGTATTCCCACCAACTTGTATTTGTAATTTGGTAAATTAGAAAGTTGCATTGATCTGGCTGTGAGTGGAGGAGGTAGAAACTAAAAAAGCCGAGCGGTCAGAGGTGGCAAATTTGTTTAAATCTGTTGGTCAGTTTTCTCAAAGAAATGTCCCCCCCTCCCTCCTGTCTGTCTGTCTAGTTTCTCTCTCACTGATTACATCCAGGACTTCAAGGCCAGGCCAACTTTTACCAGGTCTCACCATGTCCATCGACCCTGCGGCTGAGCTGCCTTTCTTCTACGGCAGCATCAGTCGCTCGGACGCCGAGCAGCACCTGAAGCTGGCCGGGATGTCCGACGGCCTCTTCTTGCTGCGGCAGTGTCTCCGCAGTCTGGGGGGCTACGTCTTGTCTATCGTGTGGAACCTGGAGTTCCACCATTACTCCGTAGAGAAACAGCTTAACGGGACTTACTGCATCACAGGAGGGAAGCCTCACTGTGGCCCTGCAGAGCTCTGTGAGTTTTACAGCAAAGACTCCGACGGCCTGGTGTGCCTCCTGAAGAAGCCGTGTCTACGCTCCCCAGATACGCCGATCAGGCAAGGCGTGTTTGACAGTCTGAGAGAAAACATGCTGAGGGAGTACGTGAAGCAGACCTGGAATCTGGAGGTGAGCCGGGTGTCGGGTGGTGCTGAAGAGTTTAGAAAAAGAAAATAACCATGTAGGGTAGAGTTTTGAGCTACTTGTACTTTACCTGAGCATTTCGGAGACTGAAAAGTTCATTTTTTAGCTATAATTACTTTTCTGTGATATTGAATATGTTTAAATGTCTTCCTAACAAACTACGGTTGTTGTTTTTACAAAAATTAACCATGCAAATGTGCTGACTTCTGCTCATGGAGATAGCTTTGATGTCTGCATCCAGCCCGCTGTACAGTGCAGTCAAAGTGATCTCCTCAGTCGTTATATTTTCCGCCCTCATCGCGCTGCAAAATATAGCAAATAAACCACATAGAAAATCTGCTGATGGGTGAAAAATTTATACAAAATAAAAAATTTGTGATCTGATAAATGTTTTCGCCTGTAAGCAAAATTTGCCATTTTGTTTTTTTGTGGTTATTTGAGAGCAGCTGCACAGATAAAAATTTCCACTGCTGTATTGACATGTAGATATTTTTTTAAAAGTACACGTACGTCTGAGAAACCTTCACATTTAATGAACCACTATTTAAAAAACAACAACACGAGGTGTCTTATCAAAAATCAGCAATCTTACCAACATGTGTCAGTTTTCCCACATCAGTCAGTGAATGTCGTTACAAAGAAACAAAGTGTTAAAGTTAGAGATCAGCGCCAGGTCACACTTTGCTGGTAGACTTTAAACAACTTTTGAAAAACTTGTGACGGCCCAGACCTCGGACTCGGACAATCCCTCCCTTCTTAATGGCTCTCTGCAAATACAACGAGAAGTTTGAAGTTGTGACCTTCTTCTCTGCAACGTTTTCATTTTGTGGCCTCGATCGGACTCTAACTCGGGGAAAGGTCTTCCCCGCAAGCCGTATGTTTGAGTCTGGTTTAACTGACATTTCTGAAGGGACTTTTTTGGTGGAGTGGGAGAAACCTTGCCCACACACAATCTCTCCAAACCTTTCCTCAAGTAGGAACACAGCTAGGAGCTCTCAGTTCCTCTGAAGGTTTCTGTGGCCTGGGGAAAGTAGTTGCACTAACAAGCTACAGTTCTTAGAAACGAGAACCAAAAGTATGAGACAGACGGTAGAAGCTAAAGTAAAGAGTCAAGATGGGGGAATAGGAACAAAGTGAGCAGGTAACTGGAAAGAAAAGGCAGGCCAGGTGGGAGTACGAGGGTCTGAGATGACAGCACTGAAAGAATTAGTCAACAAGACTAAAGCTAAGAAGAGCATTTTCACTTGTGCCTCCTCCAGTAACCTGCCACATACAACGATCAGTATCTTTTTGACACCGGTGATACAACTGAAGAGCCAAACTAGCTCCACGTCTATGCAGAATTCGCCTGCAGCTCGAGTGTCATAACGTTCCTTCTCTGAGCTTCACATGCACCACCTTCCACCGCATTTGACACCCAGCGTGAGCAAATTCAGAAACACCAGCAAGCTGCGATGCAGTCCTCCCCGCAATTTTAGATAAAAAGTCATTATTGCAAAACACGGAGATAACACGCGCCTTCTGAATGTGATCATTTTTCCGGTTCAGGGCGAAGCCATGGAGCAGGCCATCATCAGTCAAGCTCCTCAGCTCGAGAAGCTGATCGCAACTACAGCCCACGAGAAAATGCCTTGGTACCACGGCAAAATCTCCCGCCATGAGGGGGAGAGGCGGCTTTACTCGGGAGCACAACCGGACGGCAAGTTTCTGTAAGTTTTTGCTTCTTTTTAAAAAAGCCTGCTGTGTTTGTTTGTTGGGTAAAGGTTTTGCATTTATGTGTGTTTTGTTCCTCAGAATCAGAGACAGAGAAGAGTCTGGCACATACGCTCTCTCCATGATGTACGGGAAAACGGTGTACCACTATCAGATCCTCCAGGACAAGTCGGGGAAATTCTCTATGCCTGAGGGAACAAAGTTTGACACAGTCTGGCAGGTCGGTCCTCAGGCTCTTTTTTTCTTTCTCTTTACCTGTGTGTCGTTTTTCTGGCTTAAACTAAACTTATTCTCAATGTTCAGCTGGTGGAGTATCTGAAGATGAAACCTGACGGCCTTGTAACCGTTCTCGGAGAGGCGTGTGTTAACGGCAAAGCTGCTGTTGAAAGTACTGACCAATCTTTCCTTTTTTAATCATATCTCAGCCTGAATTTGCAGTTTATATTGTGGTTTATTCATAATATGAATAATATAATACGCGACGTCCTTTTTTGATTCTATTCACTAATGAAATTCTCCTGTCATTTTTCAGAGACACCCAGTCTTCCCAATGTAAGTAGTCGGTACATCCTGCACTGTTCAAGTCAGCGCACGTCTTCATCCTCTAAGATTTATTTCTTTGTCATTCCTTTCAGAGGCCACGCGGCGCCAATGGATACACACCGCCACCTCGAGGTCGGTAGCCAGCAGTGCAAACACACAGGCAGCATTGAGCATAAACTGCGATGGCTGTTCCTGCAAGGATGCGTTCAAATAAAAAAACTCACAATTACACAATCAGTCGTAGAAGGAAGACTGAAATCTGATAGATTATAACTGCATGCCAAGCGCTGTGTTTAAAGGTTGTGAGTTAAAAAATGTAATTCCTCAGTAACAGTGTCCAGTTAATATATCACTGGGTAATTAATTTACACAAGTGCATCATGTTTTAGACTCTGATACGTGATTTTGAATGTAAAACCTTCAAGTTTGAAATGTTTTGCACATTATATCTACAAACAAAGAACATCCAGTTTATTGTGTGCAATTTGTACTTTGCAGCTCTTGCATTGGTCACAAAGACTCCTGTGCCCGAAGACCGCGACCTTCTCCCCATGGACTGCAATGGATTCAACCCGTATCACAACCCCAATGATATCAAGAGGTTCAACATCCAGAGGTCCGACCTGCTGATGGACGAGGTGGAGCTCGGCTCTGGGAACTTTGGCTGTGTCAAGAAGGGAGTCTTCAAAACAGAATCGTGAGGAGCCGAACATTTTAAAAACAGACGCTGAGCCGTACGTGCGTGCGGCGTGCGTACACCGTGCGTCTACTGATGTCGCTGCCTGTGTTTTGTTTGGATTCAGGGGTCAGATAGACGTGGCCGTCAAGGTGCTGAAGAACGACAACGAGAAGCTGGTGAAGGAGGAGATGATGCGGGAGGCAGAGATCATGCACCAGCTGAGTAACCCGTTCATCGTCCGCATGCTTGGCCTGTGCAACGCAGACTGTCTTATGCTGGTCATGGAGATGGCTTCTGCCGGACCGCTGCACAAATTCCTCTCCTCCAACAAGTAAGTTCATCTTTAACTGTTTGTAGTTACACTTAAAAAAAGTTTGTTTATTTATTTATTTATTGGTAAACTCTGGTTTTTCTTTGAGTCAGTTTCTTAGCAGTTATCCTAACCTGCAGCACGGTTGGGTGGAACCACTTGACATAACTTTTGAATAAAAGTGTTAATATTTTTTATTTCATTTATTTATCAGTTACGTATTTATTTTATATATTTTATGTATCGCTTCAATGTTTTACATTCATTGTACATTTTTTAAAGTAAATCCAAAAAACACAGTATTTTGTTGAAATAACACAAATGACTCAAGTAAACCTTTAAAAAAAATCTTTAGTGAATAAAACTTCAGAGGATTTTTTAAACCAGCAATAGTGAGATTTCAGTTTTAGGAGTGTAACTAGGAGACTGATTAAGGTCTGATTTACATATTTTTATATAAAAAAACATCTCATTTATTGTTTTTCATGACACTCAGATCCTTACGAATCCTATATAGCATGTGTAGAGTCAGATCAGATTACGCTCTGACTTTACAAAAATACATACATGTCAGTGTAACCCTAACAGCTCCCACAGACATGCACTGCCCCAGGATGGGTTTTGCACCAAACAGGGCTGTGGTTTAGGGTCAGTCAGTTTCATGCATAGAAATCTTTCAGCTGTAACAAGGATCAAAACATGTCGATGTGAATAATCTTACTTTATCTCAAAGAACTCAGCTCTTCTACGTGGTAAATAGTAAACAGAGTGGTGCTACTATAACCCCTTTCTATTCAAGGTGAGCCCTCAAAGTGCGTCCTGGTACAAGTCTGTACTTCTCAGGTGGATTCTGATACTGACACTGCAGAAGTCCTTGCCATGACATGCTGATGAGGAATGAATCAGACAATCTGTTCGTCCAAGACATTTCTGATCTTTATGAGGCCGTTCTTTTTTCCTGTGGCAGCTCCATGTATTCTCAGAACTGTCACGTTATGACGGAATAAATACAGAACAACAAAAGTGAACGTACGCTTTCTTACATCTTAATTTTATAGGAGAGCAGGCAAGACCGTACTCTGTATGGACAGCAGCAGCTCTCGAAGGGCAGAAGTTGGAACATGGGGATGTGATTTTACACGTCCTTTAGGTTATGTGTTTGCTTTAGTGCCAGGATAACATTTTAATAGCCACCTTCACTCTTTCCAAGACTTAAGTAAAGCAAAGAGAAGCCTATAACTCAAGTCCAGTCAATAGAGATATTAGAGATAGATAAAAGAGCAGGGGAATGACACGCAAAAGCTTGTCCAGCTGAGAGTCATCCTAGGTGAGGTGTTTTGGGCATGTCCTCCCAGGTGAAGGCCCTGGGGCAGAACCAGGACAGAGCTCACATTTTGCCAACACCTCGGTATTTCCCCTGAACATCTGGATGAGGCGTTTCAGCTCAGACTGTTGCCCCCGTGACTCGGAGCTGGAAAAGCAGCAGAAAATGGAGAGGTGGATGATTCCAAAACTCCAAATATGTCTTAAAGCAGGGGTGTCCAACTCCAGGCCTCAAGGGCCGGTGTCCTGCAGGCCCTTGATCCAACACAGCTGATTACGGCTAATTGACCTCCTCAACATGTCCTGAAGTTCTTCAGAGGCCTGGTAATGAACTAATAAATTGATTCAGGTGTGTTGACCCAGGGTGAGATCTAAAACCTCACCTGGAGTTCCCCACTTCTGTCTTAAAGACTCAAACTTAGGATGGTTCATTTTTCAGGCTGCTTCATTTGAAGGTTTCTGGATACTTAAAACTGCAATAATATTCAGTGTTTTGTTGCATCAAAAGGAACTGGACAAGTTTTGTGTCATCATCATCATCATCGATCGTCTGTCCATCTATTTACTTCTGCTTTTCCAGTCCAGGTTCAGGGGGTGCAGCTGGAGCCCATCCCAGCTGTCTTAGGAAAAAACTACATTTGTGTACTAAAAATATCCTAATGCTTCATTTCTCTGGACGTGTGTCCTCACAGGGATACCGTATCGGTGGAGAACATTGTGAACCTGATGCACCAGGTGTCGATGGGCATGAAGTATCTGGAGGAGAAGAACTTTGTGCACAGAGATTTAGCGGCTCGCAACGTCCTGCTGGTCAATCAACAGTTCGCCAAAATCAGTGACTTTGGCCTCTCCAAGGCCCTGGGAGCAGATGACAACTACTACAAAGTACTCACGAGTTTTTTAATATTGTTGTACCGCAAGACAAAGTTGCATGAATACAGAGTGATTAGAGAGTCCGGCGTGGGTTTTATCAGTGCGTGCAAACAGAGAGTATGTCTTAGATGGATTGCCCTTCTGCGAGTTGCTGACCTCACAATGTGCAAACAGTAATTAGCTCCTATTTACAAAAATGTGTCAGGTGCCCTGTTTGAACTAAACACTCAATTGATTTCCATTTTACTGATTTACTGACCCATATCTGGAGTGGATGTAGTTACCAGAGAGCCCCAGCAATCCTTCACTCCAAGGCCCTAAATACCATCGCCGATGTTTGCTTGCTTTGGCCGAGTCCTTGGCGTGCTTCTCACCATCATAAACGTTGTGTTCACAGGCTCGTACTGCAGGTAAATGGCCGCTCAAGTGGTACGCACCAGAATGTATACTCTTCCACAAATTCTCCAGCAAAAGCGACGTGTGGAGTTTTGGTGTCACCATGTGGGAGGCGTTCTCCTACGGAGGGAAACCCTACAAGGTAAGACAGATTACTGCAGAAGGTTATCAAAGCATGACGTGATCCCAGAGCTCACGCTGCCTGTCTTTGAATTTGTTCTCCAGAAAATGAAAGGACCCGACGTGATCCGCTTCATTGAGAACGGGAGCCGCATGGATTGTCCGGCGGCGTGTCCAGAGCGAGTATATACACTGATGAAAGAGTGCTGGACATACAAGTGAGAAACCGATGGTTTTGTGCGTGCGTTATACAAGAGAGGCATAAACAGAGGTTGTCTGTATGTATGTACAACAAAACAACAAGAGTTCATGTTTCCACAATAAGAAACAAACTGGGAAAGAAATGGTCCATTCAAAGTCCGAGCTCAAATCCAGCTGAGATGCTTGCACACACCGTTAATGCTCAAACCCACCAGTGTGGCTGAATTAAACAATACTGCCACGAAGAGTGGCTGAAAGACTCATTGCCAGTTAGCACAAATGCTAGATTGCAGTTCTTGCTGCCAAGAGTGGCACAACCAGCTATTAGCTTTAGGGAGCAATTAGTCTTTCATGCAGGGTCTGTAGGTTTGGAGCTTTTTTCCCTGAATAAAGTAAACGTACTTAAATCGTTTAAAAACTGCATTTTGTATTTACTCTTGTTGTTTTTGTCTAAAAAGACTCATTTAAAATTAGTTTGATGACCTGAAACATGTGTATGACAAATGTGCAAAAAACTAAACTAAGAAAACAGGAGGAGGGCAAACACTTTTCACAGCAGTGTATTTAATGACTTATGTAGTTTTCATACATCAGGCATGGCTGCTGTCACCTAACGACATTATATTCCTCACTCAGTCGTTCCCTCGTAAATGAAAACAATTTCCTCTTGAATATTTGTTTTTTAGCGTCAAATTAAGCAAGCAACGCATCCTCTTAAAATCCTGTGACTTCTATTTATCACAGCCTCCTCTCTCTGCTCCTCCCCTCTCCTCTCTCACAGACACGAGGACCGTCCTGACTTCAAGAAGGTCGAGGAGGCCATGAGGAGTTATCATTACTCCATATCCGGCAAGGCCAAGCCTGAGGAAGGCGCAGCCGCCGCCGCACCCGAGCCTACCAAGTAGACAGAAAAAAGGCACATTCTGTCCCAGCGCTGCACAAAGCGTCCTTTCAGCCGGCCATTAAACAACCAAAACAAAGAGTGTTTTATGAACTGTGCACAGTGACCAGCTTTGACCGCAGAAGCGACACAGCAATAAATGTGCATTTGTAAATCGGACTTCAGTGTGTCAGCCGTGCACGGAAGCTCTCTGTCTGCCGTGGTTTGAATGTTAAGTGTCGTAATACTGCTGAACAAAACTAATTTTATATTCTGCTACTTTAATCGAACTATGTATTCAAATCTGCGTCTTTGTCCGCCTCCACCTAAAAGAATTTTTACTGTTTTTAGCCTAATAAACTAGAAACAAACGAATTATGTGAGTGAAAAATGTGGATTAACTTATCATAAATCTGCTGATATGACTGAATTCATTCTTAAGTGCTGTGTAATTTTTTTCTTTCTCTTTCTTGGAGCTACAACAACAGTCTGACATTATAAGTCTTAATTGTTCTTTTCCAGATGTTCCAAAACCATAAAAATAAAAATCTGTAACTTTATCACAGATGTGGCGGGAAAACTACGAGCCTCCATTCAACTGGTCTTCTGCAATCTGTCTCACAAAATCAATCATAACACAAAAGACATTACAATTAAAGACATTATGAACATTTGTATCAACAAAATGCTCCATAAAAGCATCAGCATTTGGTGATGTTTCACTGGAAGGCAAAAATGAGCTTTGGACATGAGGTGCATGCATACTTTCTTATAAATACTCTGAACATGTATGTGCAGAGTCCAACATCTGCATTTTTAATCAAAAGAAACATTAAAAATGAGAAAGTCTAATATGAGACTTTTTGAGACTTTGAGTTTAAAGCTGTTCTCTGTCTTTAAATATGTGTGTTTGTTAAATACTTTTTTCTCTCTGATGTTTCAATGCCAGTAATTTAAACGTCACACGCGGCGATTTATTAGGAAAGAAACAAACTGAGGTTAGTCACGCTGGCCCCAAACTGTGTCAGAGGAAGTACTTGTGAACCGTCAGGCCACACTGGAGGGTCCAAGGAAGTCGATGAAGCAGTTTTCAAAATAATAGTAGGTTTTCACAAAATAAACCCTATGACCCTATATTAGACCCTATGCATGCTGTGGTATAAATAGGTAATATGATCAGAGTCCCGGAAATCTACATTTATTATATATTTAATATTTTTTCATAAAGAATTTAACGGTATTGCTAATTTCCAGCCCTTGTCCTTTGTTGGGCTTTTACATCCATAATGCATAAAACAGATTTACACAATTCAAGTGTCTTTGAAAGACACTATATATTATACACTGTAATTTAAGAAAAAACTAATGATTGAAACAAAAAATGTTTGGTGACAGTTCTGCCACCAAACATGCTTTTTAGCCATAATTTGCAGAGTTTAGTTGTACAAAGGTGTCAGATACTCGATTAGAAAGGGTGACGATTGAGCCCAAACTGTCAAACAAGGAGGAAATATCATAGATTACCTAATAACTGAGCAGGTGTGTGGTGTCGAATTAACTTAAATTTAAATTTGCTTTAAAGTTAGTCTTAAGTCCTCATGTGGGGCTGTGTTTGTGTGGGTCGGTGACATTGGTGTGTAGTCTGACAGTTTCATATATGTTTATGTTTATTTATATTTATACATTTAATTACAGCAGCAGTGTTGGCCAATATAGCTTAAAACTGTGCAGGTTACTAGATTAGGACCTTTTGTTTATTATAAGCACACATACGTACATATCGTTTCATGCCATAGTTTCTCCTTTGCAAAACTGAAAAAGAATTTCGTTTCTTCAGTATATGCTGACATGTCATTCAAATTCTGTAACACTTGTAGCTTTTTTTTTACTTGTAACTTTTCCTGCTTGACCTTCTGTGGCATGGCTTGGGTAAAAACTATATTGTAGAAAACTGCAGACTGCAAACTGTGAGGTACTGAGTCAAGATGTAGGACGGGAGAGCAAAGAATCAAAATGCCGTGTAGTCCCACATAAAAAGAGACATCTGATCAGGATACGGGCGGAGCAGGATTCATTCTTCCGAACAGTAAAATGAGAAAACCCACACTGGAAACTTGATTTAGTTTGTCAGCAGGTGTAAGTGATTAATACATGAAAACTGCTCTTAGGTCAGAGGGAATGTAATGAAATGACCAAAGCTAACATGAAAGTCTCCACATATAGTGGAAAAAGCAGTCCCATTACTTTGAAAATCCTGAATCCGGAAGTCGCCGCTAAAGCCGCTAGCTTGGCGCTGGTGTACTTTTCGTTTCACAGGGAGGAGTCAGACATTAGTTTCTTTATCAAAGTGACATGTTCGTGCCGTTATTACTAATTCTACGACATGTATCGCACCGTGTGTCCATAATGTAGCCCGTCTGCGGTGTCGACATAAAGCTATCGATCAGCGACCAGATATTTCTCGATAAAAGGTCGAAGGAAACAGGAAGGCGGAACAAGTAAGTTCGGGAAAGTGGCTTTCAACTGTATCATTTCGTCACCCTGCGAAGAGCCGCCCGAGTTAACTGCTGCCCTTAGGCGGCTTTTTCCCCTCGTTTACGATAGCGTGTGAGTGATCCGGGTTTGTCGTGTGTTTTTAGCGGGTTTTATATTTGCTGTTTTATGGAGCAACAAGTCCGGCCGAGTTAGCTAGCGTCACGTCACGAATAAACTTCGCACCGCCGTCATGAGCCCCGATGTTGAATCTCTGACTTTTATCCTGGAAATGTGCTTAAAAACGACACAAAGCCCTCCAGACAACGAGCAATGTGGACCTGATGTATATATGGAGGCGTAAATAAACACGGCAATGTCGATTTACGTTGGCAACACGCGGTTTGACTTGGTTTTTTTGTCATTCGGCATATTCTTGATTTCACGGCGGAATTGGTGTATGAAATAGGAAATGACTCACTCAGACACCATGTTTCATCTTTTAAGGTTAATCTCTTTTTGCCGAGGCTTGTCGTTTGCAGACAGCCTCTGTTTCAGCCTCCCAGTGCTGCAGTGTGGTCTCAGATCAATTATGTCGGGCAACTGGGCATTTTATTCTGATTACAGCCAAATTATTATTTAGTTGTGTTGCTCTCGTGCGTAAAATTTCTCGCACGGCCTCCATTTCTTTTCCGGTTTAACAGTTTTATATCAACCTAGCATGCATCTAACATACGATTCATGACTGGGAAAAACCCAAATCTCACTGTTGTTTGGCATTTTAGACACTAATTTAACTAACAAACATGTTGTTTGCAACCCTAGATTTTAATTGTTACATGCACATGCAATCAGGTTTGACAGGAAGTAGACATTTCAATGTAAATGTGCATATATTAACCAAATTCTGCCCTTTTCTTTTTCTCCTTTTATCGTACACAGGAGTCAGAGACTCAGTCCAAATAAAAACCACGACAATCCATAACCAAAACAACCCACACTGGCTGTTCACACAACCTTGTCTGCTTCCATTTCAACGGTAAATAATTCACCTGAAGCGTTCGAACAGATCGTCTGCCGCCACCACATGCGACCATGTCCATGGCCCTGAAACAAGTCTTCAACAAAGATAGGACATTCCGGCCCAAGCGCAAGTTTGAGCCCGGGACGCAGCGCTTCGAGCTGCACAAGAAGGCCCAGGCGTCCCTGAACGCCGGCCTGGACCTGAAGCTGGCTGTGCAGCTGCCCCACGGCGAGGACCTCAACGATTGGGTGGCCGTCCACGTGGTCGACTTCTTCAACCGCATCAACCTCATCTACGGCACCATCAGTGACTCGTGCACCGATCAAACCTGCCCGGTCATGTCGGGCGGGCCCAAGTACGAATACCGCTGGCAAGACGAGCACAAGTACAAGAAGCCGACCGCCCTGTCGGCTCCCAAATACATGAGCCTGCTCATGGACTGGATCGAGGTACAGATCAACAACGAGAACATCTTCCCCACCAACGTCGGTAAGTGTTGAAATAAGCCACGAGTTTGAAAATTGAAGAAACTGTCCCGTACGGCGTCTCAGCGGTTGGTTCAAGTCTGTCAAGTCATCTCATGAGGCAAACCAAGCGACCAGCCCATTCACAGACAGACCGTGGCCACGCTTCGATATGGTTACGAAGCCATTCCAGTCAATAAATTCCAAAGTTTTATTTAGTAAACTTATGACTTTTGTTCAGATTTCAAATTTTCTCCTGTTGGTGTTTTAACCCAGTGGCTCCCTGCATGGGTGTTGGCACCACAGGTAGGGTCACACAGCAGAAAGTGGGGAGCTGATGCTTTAATATATCTTTACTTTTATGAACTGAATGGCTATAATGAGTAACCTCTATTTCATTTTAATGATCCTTTCAGTGTGAATCATTCGGAACGCAGAGAAAAGCCACTTAAATGATTAACGTATAATAATTACAGAGGAAAATTGAAATGAGATGCGAACGATTCACATCTGAAATGTGAAGCCTGTTTTTCAGCATCCGCAAGGCCACGTATGTCAGATTACCTTCAGCGCTGAGCATTGCTAACATCACAGTTAATCTGCTGCAGTGGAATTTGTGGTTTTCTATTATCTCCGAGTGTGTTTGTGTGCACTGTGCTGTGGCTCAGCAGCTGACTGACTGACTGCAGAAACATGCCAGCCAGTGGATTTAGAAATGGGTCACAGGATGGACAGTAAGGCTATGAATAGAAACGACCTCTGACGCAGCCATCCTCTGCAACACGTTCCTAAAACATTATTTAATTAGTCGAAGCAAAACGATGTGCTGAATTAAGCGTGGGTTGGGAGATTATTCAGCACACCGAGCCCTGTCGATTTTCCGATCGTGTCCGATTGTGACGCTGGCCGCGTCTGCTGCCGATTGGCGGCTGGTGTCCAGGCCTGAGGGGGAGAAGACGGGGAAAGGTTAATGTAGAAAAAGCAGCCTCACTTTTAATTAAATGCATCAGTAATTTCAAACGTGTCTGTTTACTCCGGAGCAAATAAAAGGTCACCGCAGACTGACCGCAGCCTTCTCGCTCTGTCTCCCATCTGCTTGACTCCCAGGTACTCCCTTCCCTAAGACATTCATGCAGGTGGCTAAGAAGATTTTGTCGCGTCTGTTCCGGGTGTTCGTCCACGTCTACATCCACCACTTTGACCGCGTGAGCCAGATGGGGGCAGAGGCTCACGTCAACACCTGCTACAAGCATTTCTATTACTTTGTCACCGAGTTCAACCTAACGGACCACAAAGAGCTGGAGCCCCTGGTGAGCAGATGACATCGAGCTCTGTGTGTGTGTGTGTTCCTGTCTAGCTGTCTTTGTGAGGACTGAAATCTGCATTCTACTATACTTGTGAGGACAACAGTCACTTGTGAGGACACACTCACCGGTCCTCACAAGTTTGAAGGCCTTTTTGAGGCTCAAAATGTGGTTTTAGTGTCAGGGTTACAATTAGGTTATGGTTAGGTTTAGGGTAAGGGTTAGGGATAGGCATTCATTTTTAAATGGTTATGGTTAGGGTAAGGGGCTAGGAAAACCATTATGTTAATGAAGGTCCCCACTAAGATAGCTGAATAAGATAAGATAGAACTTTATTAATCCCTCGGGTGGGTTCCTCTGGGAAATTCGATTTCCAAAAAAGCACAGCACCGACAGAAGTTACAGAGTGTGTGTGTGTGTGTGTGTGTGCACGCTTGTGTAATAATCAGCCCATGTTAAAACACCGAGATGCTGCATTTGAAGGTTGCTGTGACACAAAGCTGCATTTTAGAGCAGTGTACAGCGGAGATGTGAGGCTAATCTTGCATCGTGGGCCGGACCGGCGAAACTCCCTTCTGTACGCTTAACGGCACAAATCAGTTTTTCCACTCGATAAAGTTTTTCTATTGTAATAAGTGAAAAGGAATGAAAGAAATCTGTAAGCATGACTTTTAGGGCTTAAATTGTCAGAAATAAATGTATAGGACTAGCGGGCCATATTGGAGCATTTGACTGGCTGTTTCTGGCCCCGGGCCTCATGTTTGGCAACCCAGGTAAACAGACTATCACATTTCCTTTAAATTATCTTTTGAGAAGTACAACAAAGAGCCCGATTACTACATTATCGGATCAGTCTAGCATATCGTTTGATTTAGGAAATTAGAATTGGCACCCCTAGTGGTCAAATCGTGTAAGTGCAAGACTGTTTCTAAACTTCCCCAAAATCTTGTGGCTTCTCTGTATTTCAGCATGATGTTGCTTAATG